TGCCCAGGATCAGTGCCAAGGAATGCTTAAAATGTTTACTAAATGTCCCTAGCATCAGGCCTTCCAGTCACCGAATAACATTATGAAACAACTCCACCAGTTTCATTATCCACACAACTCTTGCCTGTTACTCTAAGCAGTTAGACTGTCACACTGTCAAAGGCATTGAATGACATCTCGCCTTGAAACAACAGTGACTTCTAAGTGACACGTGAGAATTCTTGCATACAGGGATGCAACCACCCAGTAAAGCATGTCATGCCATCCATAATACGAGTAAATGGACATCAATCACACATAGTGGAGTGAAAGAGCGCTTTGGCAAGTGAAGAAGACAGAAAGAGTGTTAATAAGTAGGTTCTGACTTTCGTCCTCTCTGTGATATAGGCCTCATCTCTTCAAGAACGCAATGTTGCTAGTCGCAGTGATGAGGGGCACTCACTGAGGAGAGTAGTGTGAAGGCTGTGTGCAAATAGATGGTAAAACTTTGTTGATACAGGACATCACTTTGGCGGTGAGCCCCAGGCCCTCCAGGTGTGACATGTCGGTAACCGCGGAATCCTCCACAGGACAGGGAACATCTACTGTCTGTCCACCAAGGAAACAACGCAGACACCACCTCTCGCTGACGGTGTATTTATCATCAGGTAGTTCAAAGCCACCTGGTGTACCATTCGCAAGTTTTCTGGGCTTGAAATGTTCATCATCTATAAGGTTCTACATATATTACCAAGCATCATAATCCGGTCACAAAATAAACAAATTTAGCCAACAAAATATGTGAAATTGCTGCAAACGCATCCGCAAATACAAATGGAAAAATTGAGAGAACCGGATGAAATCCCATCCCGACTTTGGCCTTAAATGCTTTAACAATTTTGTATTGCTAAAATACTCAATTTTCGGTTCTCCTGACATATCCATCCATAAAATCTAAATCAACTCCTAGGAAAGTGCGCAGGCATATGAGCAATCCATTTTTATCATCTGAGGCTGCAAAAGAAAAGACACACTCGTCTTTGAAAACTTGGCCGCCCTTTTTGGGCACCGATACCGACGAATCAGTACCAGCGAAATCCACCACCACACGGGACGATGCGCCAATCGAATTATTAATCACACGAATGCGCGGTGACCTTGGAGAGCAATATCAGTATGGTTTATGAAGATAATCCATGGAAATGAGGGGTCAGTGAGAGATGGTCTCGACGGCAATGACTACGCATCTTTCAAAATTTTGTTTATTTAGTATGACATTTCTTTGGCCTTTTATATTTGGCAGTCACACCTAAAAGCCATCAATTCTATCCATTGAACGTCACACGTAATGCTATAAAGCATTTTCAGCCATTGCATTTGTTCATTATGAGCATTAAACTTGCATTTAGTTGGTGAGTTGCTAACGTTAAGCTTTCATAGTTATGCTAAGCGGAGAGCACTGAATTGGGGTTAGCTTTTTCAATATCTTTCTTCTGCCAATTTGCTTTAGCTCGCCGAAGAGAAATACAATTCTGACTACTCACGGTGCCCGTAAAAGTATGTAACTTATTGCAGGAAATCTTCTTTGATGCAAATGAGTATCACTGAAGCGTATTACTTTCCCAGTATTTCGGAATGTGCTCAACCATCAATCATCAAACCTGCTCTCTTTTGTCATTGTGGCATAGAAAATGTGTTACTGTTGGTTTGCGCCAACATTAAATGGGCAAGTCTTAGCAGCTAAGGCTGCCCATTTTATCCATCGGCCTACTGGCTTTTCTGTTAATATGCACTCCTACGTCACAGATCGTTTCACTTCCTAAAACACCGAGCTTGAATTTTTGCTTGAACAAACGCGAGTGAGAACTCTCTATTTGAGACTACAGACCTTATATTTCAATGAAAATCTCCTTAAGGAAAGACCAAACACCGTTTTTCTTTCCATTAACAACTTGCAATGCACCCAGCTTGGTTGCATATAAATTTTTAGTATGATGAAATAGGGTAGGACCTTTGTACAACCACTTTCGGACCGTGGGGGTTTCTTCTCTCTATGAAATTCATGAAAGTGATTTGCGGGATGTAACAGACTAGTCGTTCGCCTTATTAAGCACTCAGTCACCCTAAAATGAGAAAGATGCATGAACTAACACTATATCCACATTATGAATGATCAAACACTGCTTTAAAAACTGCTTCCATTCAACAAATTGTAGTGGCTCCAACATGTGATTTTACAACCCACCAGAGTTTACAATGTTAAATAAGGTTGTGAGCAAATCGGTTTCCTAAGAAGTCGACTTTTGGGCCAAACACAGGGCTGTCACGTCTGTTGCACACAGTTGCGACTGTGAAAGTTGTAAAATTTGGCGACAGTAGGTAAAAGCACTGAGGCATATAAAGTAGGATCAGAAAGTGATTAGCAAGCAAAAATGAGGTTAAGCGTAAATAAATTTGTGTAGTATTAATTGTGTCTAGCTTTCGATTGGTGGGATGTATGCCCTAGCTTTATGCTAATAAATGCTATTGACAGTATTTACGCCTTGATGTGCATTCGCTTGCAGATAATCAACATCATAATCCAGTTCTATTTTATCGTAAACTAGCCTATTTTAACCCATTCTATTTTTACTCAGAGTTCCTTGAAAAAAATCCAGAATAGATTCAGCCCTCCTTACCGCATATTTTGTTGAATGTTTGGATGATTACTTAAGGGTTTGTTAGATTAAAGCGCCAAAACTGACCCTCACTTTGCCCAGCCACTACCACCCAATTGTCAATACCGGCAGTCACTGAGGTAATCGAGGTTATAACGGGAACAGGAGCAGTGCACAAATGACTGTGCTAAATGAATTGAAACATCATCTCTTTAAAGACAACGGCTGAGGGTGTTAGCATAAATCAGGTGTTTAATTCAGGATGGGTGGCCTCGACTAGGTCTTTGGTAATGTAGCAATATCACAAACACTCCAGCCATTCCTCCAAAAGATATGTTTCTTAATTTATCGCTAATTAAGAAGAATATTATTAATTATATTTCATTTTGTAACAACAGTGAAATTTCATCAGGGCTGTTTTATCCCAATTTTGGGCCTCGGATTTCGACGCTAAATTGACACGCAGCTTACTCCTGCCATCATTTTCAGGGTACATTCCCTTTATGCCGCAATCCCTAACTTTCATTAGTATACATCAGCCATATCACTGCTCACTTTGAATCAATGAAGATTGATGTTTTAATTGGAATGTGTCAAAACTCATGACATTTATTAAAGAAAGGAGAACTTAAGGTGCAATGCCAATGTGGGAGGCGATTTTGGAAGCTTTACATTAGATCCTCAAGGAGGAAGAGTCTCGCAGTAACACTGAATTCTTACAAATAGACATCAATTTTGGCAGGTACAGTCAATAAATCCAAAAGCGCACGTCATTTTATCCAGCGTACTTGGCAAGTCCGCGTCCACTTCATCACAATTGGCATGAAATTAGGTGACCTCAGCCAAGTCGGTGTTTCTTTTTTCACAAGTTACGTGACATGCCTTATAATGGCATTTTTTTTCTTGAATTTAAACTTCAGTGTGTTAACTTTGTCGTAATTAAGAAAAATTTTTGTGTAATTTTTGTAGACTGGCGACAAATGCACTTCCGTTCAAACTGAAATTACGTGAAATCAACTCGACCGCCTTTTTGAGATTATCATTTCATTCGGCTAACTATGGACAGGTGCAGTTTTGCCCTTTCGGTTGAAGTAAGATGAAATCTGATGAAGCGCAATCGCCCGTTTGAAATCGGTTCTAATAATAAAATTTAAATTTGTAATCTGGAAGTCTAAGATGGTGATCTTAACTAAACGGATTATTCCAGATTCCATTCAATGCCTACGGCGTGTCCGCTTTATTACACATCAATATTTTTTTTCAAGCGAGAAATCTCTGCGTTTCCAACTGAACTATTTCAGCGTATTCCATCAAAAGCAAACGGCATGGTCTCTCATCCACACACCATTGCTGGACATTGTATTAAAAGTTAGAAATATTTCTCATTATGTATCCTATTCTAGCGGATTCCGTTAAAAGAATACTTCAATAGCCCTCATCTGCCTACTAAACTTGTTGATGGTAAAACCAGAAATCTGAAATGGCGCTAGCGATCCGAATTACTCCTGCGGATTCCATCAACAACAAACCACATTTTCTTTCATCTGCATGCTCTTATCATGCATTGTAGAACCCTATTTGGGTCTTTTGTCTGAAGAAAACGTCATTTTTGCTTAAAATTTACACGAATTTTTTATGTTTGTTTATTTCTATTCCTTTGAAGTTGTTATTAACTCACATGTTAACTGTCTTTCCCTAATCTTTTAATGCATTAACCGATGAGAGTTACGCTAACCGTTTTTCTTTTTTTCTAGTAATTATTAACTCATTCACTCGCTAACATGAAATTTTTGTCAAATTCACCTTACTGCCTTGTTCCCAGTCGCAAGCTCCCCACTGCCCTGATTGTCTTCCAAATCCTTACTCCAAACTTGCAAGATTTTACCGATTATCTTCTACCAAGCAATGTTCAGTATTGTCGGTATTCTAATGTGGAATGCAATGCCAACTAGACTCGCTCTATATCCTGCCTACAGACAATAAACGCAAATACTTGCACGAGACACTGCTCTACGTCAGAAATTGAGCCTAATTGAAGTATTTTAGTCTTCCTTCACCATAAAAGTCTACTGAGCTTTAATTCAGTAGCGCTTTGTGCTAAGGTGATGTCGATGGAAAATAAGTAAGTGGGTCACCAGAACCATACCCGCGAACAGTAGGTAGGTGCCCGCAAACACACAGGTGTGATAGACGAAGTTGACGCATTGCATTTGCTGTTCCCTTCTCCTTCATTTAGAAGTATTTTCCACTAATTGTGAATTAAATAAAACAATATCTGAGTGGGAAAATTCCTCTTTTATTTTATAGATTGCACTGAGAACGTAAAATAAATTGCGACCATGTCGTAGTCCATTTGCAAAAAAAACGAGCGACCTCGCACTCAGTGTGTTGTTTTGCGTAAAATAGGCTTTACACTGTGAAGTAGAAATGCGTTGGCTAGCATCCAGACGGAGCGCAAGTTTTTCTCTTCCGCTACTTCCCCTTCACAGTTTGATGCAACTATGCACTCTCCATACCTAAAACCTATATAGATAAACTAGGCTTTAATCAATGCCAGAAAGCCCAAATCTTACTGCATGCCGAATGCATATTCTAATGCTTCCGTTGTTTCAATGTTCCTTTAGGAGAGGAGGCTGGCATACGAATCCAAACTATTGACTGAGGCGTCAGCATCCTATAACGCGAAGAGCGGTTCCGTGTCCACTCCCACTACACTTGTACTTACCTCTTCCATTTATGCATCCCAATTAACATGTCAAAGTCGATTCAAATTGGGTATTTTAAGATTATGACGGCCGAATAGAAGGAGATTTTCGAGGCTCGTCCTACCCTGGTAGCAGTGCCGACGCACCTCAGAAATGGCATGAAATTCGGAAACCGGCTAGAAACTGCTAAATTTAACCTCCATCTCTACCCTTACTTCCAAATGCCCCTCATCATCTGTGCTAAGGTTTAAGTCGACCTCGGCATCACCCATATTACCAACGTCGATGAATGGTGTGCCTACAAAAAGCTGACGAGAGCGATGAGTACGTCAAGAATCCTTAACATCTGGCAAAACGTGCTTTTAGCGGCTGTCATTTAAACGAGTTTGCTAACGCAGAGTCCTACATGCCACCATGGTTGCGAATCTCTGAGACATAACCAACTGGTTCAGCCAACTGGTCAAGACGGAGTAAGAAGCAACAGGGAATTCGGGCGACCCCAATCTACCAAAAGCCTAAAACTAGTCAAACCCGCCATCCTCGCATCGTGCTTTTACGCGCTACGCCTTCAAATCAGGTGAGCATTCCTCCTCTCTTTCCAGTGTGACCCCGATTGGCTCCCATTCACATATGCGGCTCACTCGTATATTTGAAGCACATTCCTTCAGTGTTTTTCTCTCCTCGGTGGTAACTCACAAGCTTTCTCCTTCTGCAAAATTGCGTTTAGCAGAAGAGAGGGAAATTTAAATTAAGGGAAAGATACTGTTAAACGCCTGCATAGGGAAAGGAACCTGGACTGCAAAATTCGTTATGTGTTCATAACTAGCTTGGAACATGACACCCGGTACTGATTTGTGTGCTACACCAAAACTGTCCCAAGCTGTTTAAAAGGAACCTTTTCCATAAATATTGGCTAGGATAATATTAGGGCAGAAACTCATTACAATCGGGCTTTTCAGACACACCATATTCCAAATTCCTCCAGTATCCAAGCGCTTCTCATCTTCGACAAGCCAGGTAATGAAGTCTCCCTTAAAACTTGACCAAGTTGCCAACAGATTTGATTTTCGACGGAGACAAGTCAGAGGAACACACTGCAGAGCCTTGAAAACTGATCACATTAGGCTATTCTCCACGATTAACACAGGTCCGTCATAAGATAGTCAAATATCTCATGCCTAGTATTTCTTATATGCAACTCTTCAAGGTGAATTGGAAGCAATGGAAAACAAGATTAAATTTTTCTTAGTGGCGAGTTTGGTGCAAAAATTTGTTCCACAACAGAAGTATGCAACGAATTTGTTGGAACACAACTT